GATAGAAACATCAATGAGAGAAACATCAATTGGCTGCCTCCCACGTGTATTCCTACTGGGGATCAAACCCTAAACCAGGGTGCACTCGGACCAGGAATCAAACTGGTGACCTTCCAGTGCACAGAACAATGCTCAACTGAGTTATACTGGTCAGGGTGTAAGGTATCTCGCGGAGGAAGAAAAAAATGGAGCCACAAAGGCGGGCAAAAGTTTTATTGAAGCATTCCGTGCAAGGTTCACTGGTCCACATGGAGGGGGCCAGGGAAGTTGCGCTGCTACTTTCACCCAGGGAAGATTTATAGGAATGTTAGGGACCTGGGTGGGGTGATTAGGTGTGGCATCAGGTGACTGGCTAGCTGCTGGGGAGATTCGAACATAGTGTATGTTGATTGGCTGGGATGGGTGGTGGGACAGGACCAGGAGTGTCCCCTCAGCTACATCCGGGTAAGGCAAAGCCTCCCAAGTTAGGTTTCGATTTCTCCTCTGGCCATCCATTTCGGGTCATGCGACTTCCCAGTCATGTGACTCCCTGGAGCTCGCTGGCCTTACACAGGGCTTGCCTTGCTTTTAAAATAAATTTACTTGCTTTACTTTGTAATAAATTGGCTTTACTACAGTGCAATAGGCTGGAGTCACTTGTTTGAATTCCCTCCTATAAGACTGACAAGAACTGAGGAGGGAACAGCCTTCTCTTTTCAACTCAGGGGGCTGTTTGATAACACCTTTTTGAGTGTTTCTGGGGTGACTGTAACAGAGGGATTAAACAAAGAAAGAAAAAAAGGAGAAAAAAACTCATGGAAAGGGACATCAGTGTGGTGATTGCTGGGAGGGGAGGGATGGAAGGAAATCAAGGAGACTATGGGGGGATAAATGGTGATGGATGGAGATCTTAACTGGGGTGATGAACACACAATACAGTGTAGAGATGATTTGTTGTGGACTTGTGCACCTGAAACTATAATTTTGTGCACCAGTGCACCTCAGTAAATTCAATAAAAAGATAGGTAGTTTCTATTAGTAGAAAAACCAAACTATAGAACGCTTTTAAAAATGAAGGAAATTTAAAATATTTGGGTGAAGAAATTAAAAAATAAAAATTTATGAGAATGTTTTATTTTATTGAGTAATAGTTGACTTGAGATGCTACCTAGTAATTAATGGCATTACTAACATCTTTATGACTTTCATAATTTTATATTTTATTAATTATCTCAGTCAACAGCAGTTGGTTGGTTGTTTATTTGTGCTGGGGACTGGAAGGGGGTAACCTGTGGTGGGAGTATCTTGTAAACCTGTGCTGTCCAATACATTTCTCACTAGCCACATATGGCTATTTAAACTTGAATGAAAATTTTAGTCCTACAGTTACACTAGCCATATTTTAAGTTCGCAACAGTGCAGATACAGAAATTCCCATAATTGCTGAAAGTTCTATGGAACATACCTGATTCAGAAGACTCTTTTCAGAACTTTTTATTTAGTGACTGATTTTAGAGAGAGAAACTTTGATTTTGTTGTTCCACTTATTTGCACATTCAATGGTTGATTCTTGTATGTGCCCTGACCAGGGACTGAATCCATACAACCTTGGTGTATGGGGACAATGCCAAATGAGCTACCTGGCTAGACAGAGAAGACTCTTGAGGTATGTTATCTATAGTGGACATAAGGAGGATTTAAGTTGAAGCAGTGGCAATGAGATGGAGAGGAGAGATCTCTCTGAAATACTTAAATGTGATGCAGAGTAAAGATGGGGATTCATTCATTGAGCCTGTCTTCTAGGTTTCTCCCTGTGGTAAACTGGTGGATGGTAGAACCATTCACCAACAAAGTAAATATAGAAGCAGAATTTGGAAAAAGGGAATGAAATCAGATTTGTACCCAGTGAGTGAGAGACAAGCCTGAGACAGTGGTCTGAGAAGCTGCTGGATATCAGAATGTAATCTGTGAGAAGCCTGAGCAGAGACAGAGTTCATAGGAAAAGGCAGTAGCATTGGGTAGGGGCTGGAGCCATGCAATTGAGCAAGGGCTTAGAGAAAGTAGGCTGCATGAGACTGCCAGAGGATGGTACCACGTCTGGGAAGCACTGGTATTAGGGCAGGGTTTTCAAACTGTGAGTAGGTCAAGAAATCAACAGACTAGGTCTCCACCAGCATTAAAAATATATTATAGAAAATATTAATATGCTTTGCATGATCTGAGTAAAGATATTTTCCTGAAACACTTATTATGACTGTCTTTATACACATATATGTATACTGGGTTGCAAGGTAAAACATATTTCTGAGTTGTGGTCCAATTAGGACAAATGTCACTGACTTAAAAACTGAGCAGCACAGACTATAAGCTACATGTGAAATGAGACAGTGTCCTTTCTCTCATTACCCCACATTCTGGTAATAGTAGACACTCTGTGAAGACATGCTGCATGAAGAAATGAATCAATGCACCAGAGAAGAGGAAACCTAGGACAAGGGTGACTCAGGAGCTAAAAAGGATGAGAGAGAAGAAACAACCCAGGGTCAGATGTCAGTGATTTGGCAATGTTCAGAGCACAGATGAGCTTGTTTCTGCAATTGCTGTAGACTGGCAGAGGCAGAAGCCAGACTGCAGAAGTAAATGGGGGGTGAGGAAGAAGGGTTGAGACAAATGACAGTGGAGAGTGAGAGATATCTGTTTTGTATTTAAGATGTGAAAATCCAACATGTGTTGGGAAGAGATTATAGGAAAGGCATGCTCTAGAACTGTGCTGTCCAATAATAAAGTCATTAGCTACACGTGGCTATTTCAATTAGAATTAAATTAAAATGCAGTTCCTTAACTCCATTTCAAGTGCACTCAATGGCGACATGCAGCCAGTGGCAACCATACTGCAGAGAGCGGATACAGAACATTTCCATCATTGCAGAAAGTGATGCTGTAGAAAAGAGACTTGATTCATCATGTCTATGCTAGCTTCAATAAAACAAGCAGTGTACAGCGCCCAACTTCTTCTTACTGGAAATGCTATCCAAACCCAGCAGAAAAACTGCTTGTGTTGTAACTGTCAGCGAGATAACCAGAGACGCACAGTGGAATTGTAAATGGTCCCCCAACCCCCACCCCTGGCCTCAGGACACCAGTAGACTAGTGGGTGTGACAGCGATTACATAAATTAAAATTAGCATTATTCACTGGGCTCACGAGTACCTGCAAATGCCTGCAAATACTGATACTTGGAAACTGCAAATACCTCCCAACATGTGGGGCAACTATAATCTTGGGCAAAATTCCTTCACTTCTAGGGATAATTAACTTATTATTGGAAAAATATCAAGGAAGGTCCATTGATGATAAAAATGGAATCCAGTCGCCTTAGCCTCAGGGCCCAGGTCACTTGGAATTTCATTACAATCTGTACATGATGACATGGCATTTGATCGTGGTGAGGGAGGGCCAACCCTGGGTGAGGCCAGTGCATACAGCAGGAAGGCTACTAAACTTCAGGACATGATCAGGACAGTCTGGGTATTACAGGAATTGAGGACATTTCCCACCAAATGCAACCAAGATCTGTGACAACTGCAAATCATGACTGTGAAAGCCTGGATGCATAGGGAAAGAAGCTGTGGGACAACAGAAAGGTGACAGATGTTGGCATGGTGCTGCATAGGATCAGTGGGGAGGAGTCTGGCCAGGGTACACAGAAGGTGGATAAAATGCAGTTACAATTTTACAAAATTAAAGTGATTGCTACAGAACAAATAAACTGATTTCCATGTGTACCTTTCATTGTTTTTGTATAGCACCTCAATAACAAAACGGAATGTGACAGAAGACTAAAGCGTTTATTATGCACCAGATCTATCTACTTAGACAGGGTCCCGTTGACCTACTGCAGTGGGCAACGTCACTACCAGAATTTTAAAAATAAAATTCATAATTTTGTGAAAAATCTCTTTGCAATCACTTTTAAGGAACTATTTGGTTCTACTTGTTAAAACATTTTTTGCACGCGGAGATTAACAGGCGAGGGAAGGAGGAGGGGCCCTTGGTAACGCAGCCTTCCACACCCAGGGTGTACCCTGGCTAGCTCAGGGGAAGTCCGGCCTGTGGCAGAAAAAACAGTCCCTCGGCCTCGCCTGGTGACAGCTGTAAGTAGCGACTAGGTCGCTGCGCTTAGGTCCTTTCCCTGATGCACATGCAGCAAACTTCTCCTCGTGGAAGACTTTTGAAGGCCGAGTTCAAGCGTACAAATTTCCGGTTAGCGCTGGAGGTTAAGAGCGACCCCAGCGACACGACGTTCCAGGAACATCCGAAGGAGAGATTTACCCATTTGAGCCGTTGGTTAGACTCTGTTACTCAGGGCACCACTGTCCTTTCTGAAGTGAGGACAAACACTCTGGAAAACGACAGTCCACCCCAACATCTGAGTCCGCCTGCAGCCGAACTTAAGCCTGGAACCGCCGGGGCGGAAACCTCAACAGCCCACTTCCGGTGCGGCTTCCAATTTCCTGGGCGAGGCCTGAAGTGGCTTTCCTTCATTCAGTGCCATAGTGCCGTAAAGCAAGATGGCAGCGCTCTCTTTAAAGTGGTTGTTCAGTCTTCGTCCTATTTGTGTCACTTCCCAATCCACCAGCGCCTCTCTGTTTCTATCTTATACATCGTGTTTCTCACAAAATCTCTCTCATATTTCAATCTCATTCAGCTGTAGTGGGGTACGGGCTGATGACAACGTGAGGTGACCTGAGCAATAAGGGCGCCATTTTGTACGGAAATTGAAGGCCAGGCGTGGCAAGCGGCGGGGAATCCAGATGTGGGTGGCTGGCAGGAGAGCGAGAGAGGGAGGGCGGGGAGGCGGAGGGTGTTGCTATCCGGCGGTCTATTTCCGCTTCCTCTTGGCCCCATCCTGTTTGTTTGGCCCAGCCTGTTGAGGGGAGGGCGGGGGGAAGGTTGTTTGGAGGTTCGTGCACGGTAAGGTAAACTGAGGCAAGGCTGTGAGGGGTGGGGTCTTTGCGTCAAGCAGTGCCGGAGCTCTGAGGACAGGATCCTTGGAAGTGTGTGGGGTTGGAGACGGGAGACTCTGAGAGCTCGCAGTTTGGAGAGAGACGAGGAGGTGGGGCGGGGCTGGGGGTTGCGAGGTGAATCGCGGGTCCGGCTGGCGGGCAACGGGTGTGCCGGAGGGTGAGCCCGGGGGCTGCTAGGGGGCAGGTAGGAGCGGCTGAGACGCGGGTGGGGGCGGGGGGACCTCAGGTCCTTGAGTGCTGAGGCGAAGTTGATGTGGCTGGTCGTACGTATTGGCGTGTGGGAGGACGAGAATGGGGCTTAGTGGCCGACGTTCCGATGTTGAGTATATCCTTGGCCTTTGTTTTTCCTTGCAGTTCCCTAGAGACTTATCCGCGATCTCTTCTCGAGTGCACCCGTCTGTCTTCAGCTGTCTGCCTCATTCCTCCCTAATGGTGTCCTTCCTCTCAGGCCTCGGCTCAGGATCCAGGCCTTGGCTCAGGATCCAGGCCTTCTCTGCCCACTGCCTCAGAGCAGCTGCTACCCTTGGCTGGGAGGGAAGAACTTTTGTGCAGACGAGATTATAGCGCTAGGAACCCCAATAACGACTGAAATCTCGACCTCCAATCCAGTGCGAGTTCTTCCCGTGCCTCCTTTACCAGTCTTTGAGAAGACATACCCTTCTTCTTGCCACCCAGAGCTCAGGAAGCCCCAAGCTGGGGCCCTGGTCCCCGCATGTCAGTCCTTTCTTATGCATAGGGCTATGCCCTCTCCCCATCAGCATGGCTGAGCTCAGGCAGGTTCCAGGGGGGCGGGAGACCCCTCAGGGGGAGCTACAGCCAGAGGTTGTAGAGGATAAAGTCCCTCGGAGCCCAGTCACAGAGGAACCCCAAGGAGATGAAAGCAACAGCAGTGAGGCCAAATTGTCCCCGGTGGAGGAGGAAGAGCTGGATCCTAGAATACAGGTGAGACGACTGATAGGGGAGAGACAGGTGTCAACTTTCCTTAAGAGCTGGCAGATGAGTGCATTGGCGCAGGAAAGGAAAACAAGCTTGTCAACAAGTCATTGCAATGCAGTGTGACAAGTGCTAAAATATTAGTTTGGGATGGGAGTGCCAAGAAAGGCTGGCCGGAGTGCCTGGGGTGGTTGCTGAAGCCTCACTGAAGAAGGGAAGGAACATACAGGAGGCATATTTCAGGTCAGTGCAGAGTAGAATTGTTATTCTTTTCAAATAAGCAGCAGGGCTGTCAGCTCAGGCATGGTATGACTGGGACTTGAGAGGAGGTGACTTTGAGACTGAGAGACAATCTCACCATTTCATCAGTGCCTCCCAGGGATGTTCACATCTATAAAGGGTGAGACCTTTCATGTGTTATAAAGGTAGTATCAGGTTTAGGCCTCTGAAGAAATCTGATAATGTTGGTCCTTGTCAGTCCTCAGTGACATAGATGCCTAGCTCTAAGGAGAGCTGTTTTGTCATCTCAGAGCATCTGCAGTCTAGTTAGTCAGCTGGGCAGATCTTTGGAAAGGAGACCTGGAGCAATGAGTGAGGATGGAGAGAGTAGGCACTATGTGGAGCAGGTGCTTGGCCAGCTGAGGCTGGATTGTAGTGATTCTGGGCCATGGCTAGGAAGCACTAGCTGGGGAAGCTGCTTGGGCAGGTGAGGGTCAGCCCATTTCTGTGTTTGGGGCTGAGCCTGCCCTTTGGTTTGGAGCATCTTCCAGATTCTGGTATGCAGGTGATTCACATCTATGTAGGTGAGCGACACATCCTTGGGCTTGCTTCCTGCTTCTGTTAACAAATTTTTGGTGGATTACTTTGGTGTGTCCAGAAGAAATCAAAGCTGGTGTTAGAATCCTTTCTGCCTTCTTGGTTGGGTTTCTGGGATGTGTGTGGGAACTGTGTCCTTGCTCACAGTGGAGCAGCGGTGCATCAGAAACATTCCTGCTGTATTTCACAGGCATTGCATTGCAATCAGATTCATTTCTTCTGCTAATTCTACAGATTTGTCTTCCACTGAGGAAACAAGTTGTAGTGAAAACACTTTGGACTGAGGCTTAAGCAGTCTCTTGCCTGATGCTTTGTGATTTTTCATGCAAGTTATGTAACCTCTGCACACCTTGGTTTCTTTGTAAAGTGAGGGGTTTTTTCATTGATTTGCATGATTCCTTCCCTGCACTGCTCTGACAGAGTCCTATGAATCTTTCACAAATTCTTTAGTTTGTCTTTTGCTGACAGTTTGCAGGTAGTGCTTTGGGTAATAGATCCCTGTGTGTGTTGGAAAGGAGGACCATGTGATGTGCTCCATGCTCCCTGCATCGCTCCTGGCCCTACTTTCAAGGAGAATACAAAAGCTTGTTTCTATAGCTCCTCCTGCTCCTGTATTGCCTAGTGCTCACACAGAGTCACTCCAATGCTTCACTGTCCAATCATATAGCCACTAGCTGTGTGTGGCTACTTAAATAAAATCATCAATTACAATGAAATTAAAATTAAAGATGCAGTTCCCTGAGTGCTATATGGCAGTGCAAAATTAGGACATTCTACCATGGGCAGTTCCATCAGATGAGGACACTGGGCATGGGTAATATCTCATGGCCTTTTGTGAGCCTGCCATGACTTGCCAAAGTGGGAGATGCATTGTGGGTTATGTAGGAAGGAAAGGTCTCCTTGCACAGGTGGTACTCAGCTGAGCCAGTGTCCTGGCCTCAGTGGGGATTTAGCTCTTGTCACCATGTGGGAGAGGCAGGCTGCTGTGAGGGGCACCTTTTAGGGTCGGCAGCTGGCATTCATCCCTTTGAGGTTTGGGCTCTTCTGGATGCAGATGAGAGTGGGGCATTTGTTGTGTCCCTTTAGTGTTGACAATGCACAGGCTGTTCTCATAGTGTGTTTCAGTGTTGTAAGTAGATTACTTACTGCATTCAGTAGGTCTTCATGCACAGATTCATCAGAACCCACCAAGGAGCTTTAAGAGCACCTGTCTGAGCTGTGCAAAGACATGTGCATCCTTCTGACCTGGGTGGATGATTAAGAGGTTCTAACATGTGGCCTTTGTGAGTCTGTTGGGCCAGGGATATCCAAAGACAGGGACCTGTTCAGGTGTTTTTTGGATCTTCGGGCAAGCTCTTTCTGACGTGGTGACAGGTTTCTCGGCAGGCAGGCAGCCCGCTCATGCCCCCGTTGTCTCGTGGGATCCCCTGGAAGTTGGAGGGAAGCCAGCTGGTGGCCAACTCTAGGCCTACAAGGAGTGTGCTGTTCCCTTGGGAAGGCCACTGGCTATATCTCCATGTCTTGACCTCAGCATAGTTCTCTGAGGCCTCCAAACTGGTCCTCTGGGCCTGGGTCTCCTCCCCTGTGACTTTCTCAACCTCTTTGTGGTGGGCACATTCTTTCCTGAGGCAAATGGATACATTCACTCAGACTCTTAAGGGTCACTTTGCAGTCTCTGCCTCCCCATCTGAAATGTCGGTTTGGTTCACAGACAGCTTAATTTGCCTTATTTCCAAGACCTGGACTGTATATCACCCTGACCCCACCCGCTGACCAAGGCTTAGTGTTTTAATGGCCAGCACAGGTGGGTAGGCATGTTGGCAGCCTGAGTGGTCAGGATTCTGCCACAGTGGCTTGGCATCCTGGGAATGCAGTACTTGCCCAGAAAGGTCACCCTCCCGGCTGGATGCAGGCTCACTGATGGGCAATGTTCACTGACTCAGACCTCATTTTCCTGGAGTTGTATGTCAGCAGCTACCAGGAGTCCCCAGTGGGGCAGGCCACATGGAACATGTTGCTAGCTGCCCAAATGGCGTGGTGCTTCTCAGCTTCCTGTCATCCTGGCTGCCCCCAGCCCCTTGCCCACCCTGCCCTCCAACCTGTTAGAAAGAGTTTTGTGACTGAGGGGGAGTCTCTTTTGAAGAAGACTTTTAATGCTGGAGCTGCTGTGCTGATGCAGATTTCTGCCTTTTGCCGATAGCCAGAGCCTTGCACAGGATTTTTCCAATTGCGCATTACTTCTGTAGAGCCATCCACTCTGATAACCTTATCAGAAGCTGGGAGCACTTTGGGCCGTGGAACCAAGTGGGAAGCAGTCTGGACCTTGGTCTGCATGTGGGAACAATGTAGCGTGGCCTACACACACCTTCTCTCCTTCCCCAGAGTCAATATTTGTTGCTCTCCTGTCGTCTATCCTTTTCCTACTGGGGCTGTGGCTTTCTGAGGTTCCTGTCTTTGAGGTTTCCATCAAAAAAATCCTTAGTCCTGGGACGGTGCAGGAAATCCAGATCAAAGGGTGGGTCCAGGATCTAGCCCCAACTCAGTCACTTATGCCTGGATGCCATCTCATTGTTTCTTTTGTTGTTAATATTCACCTGAGGGTATTTTTCCATTGTTTTTTTTTTTTTGGTAAAACTGTATTTATTAACAAATGATATGTTCTTATATGTAGAAAATCCCAAAGAATAAAAAAAAAAAAGACTAAAATAAACAAATTTGGCAAGATTGTAAGATAAAATTAATATTAAAAATCATGCCCTGGCCGGTTCAGAGGTTAGAGCGTTGGCCTGCAGAGAGTCCTGGCTTCGGTTCCCGTTAATGGCACGTACCTCGGTTGCAGTTTGTCCCTGGCCCTGGTTGGGATCATGTGGGTGGCAGCCAGTCGATGTGTCTCTCTCACATTGACGTTTCTCTCTCTCTCTCTTCCCCCCTCTCTCCCTCCTGCTCTATCTGGTGATAAATGCAAAAATGTCGTCAGGTGAGGATTAAAAAAATATCAACTATATTTTTACATACCAGCAATGAATAATCCTGAAATAAAATTAAGAAAATAACCCCATTTACAATAGCATCAAAAAGTTTACTTACAAAAAATAATAAGAACAAGATTTGTATACCAAAACCATAAAATATTTTTGTTATTTTTAAATTTATTTTTATTATTGAAAGTATTATAAATGTCCCTGCTTCCCCCCCCCCTGACATCCTCCTCCCTGCCCTCTCCCCCACCCACCCGCTTCACCACACTGTTGTCTGTATTGATTGGTTATGCCTATATGCATATAAGTTCTTTGGTATATCTTTCCCCGCCCCCCAACCCACCTTCTCTCTGAGGTTTGTCAGTTTGTTCCTTACTTCCATGTGTCTGAATCTGCTTTGTTTGTCATCTTATTTTGTTCATTATAGTCTACAAATAAGTGAGATCATGTGATACTTGCCTTTCTCTTACTGGTTTATTTCACTTAGCATGATACTCTCCTGGTCCCTCCATGTTGTCTCAAAGGATAAGAGATCTTTCTTTCTTTTTTTTTTTTTTTTATCCTCACCCGAGGATATTTTTCCATTTTTTGTACAGATAGAGTGGGAGGGAGAGAGAGGAAGGGAGAGAGAGTGAGAAACATCGATGTGAAGGGACACATCGAGTGGCTGCTACCCGCACGACCAACCAGGGCCGGGGACAAACCGCAACCGAAGTACGTGCCCTTAGCGGGAACCGAACCCGGGTCTCTCCGGACCGCAGGCCGACGCTCTAACCGCTGAGCCAAACTGGCCAGGGCGAGATCTTTCTTTCTTACAGCTGCATGGTATTCCATTAAGTAGATGTACCGCTTTTAATCCACTCATCTACTGAAGGACACTTGGGCTGTTTCCAGATCTTAGCTATTGTAAGTAATGCTGCTATGAACATAAGTATGCATATATTCTTTGTGATTGCTGTTTCAGGCTTCTTAGGATATATTCTAGAAAGTAGGATCAAATGGCAGCTCCAGTTTTAATTTTATGAGGAAATACCATATTTTCTAGAGTGGCTGCAGCAATCTGCATTCCCACCAGCAGTGTACTAGATTGCCCTTTTCTCTACATCCTCGCCAGCACTTGTTTGATGATTTCATGATATGAGGTGTGAAGTGATTGCTGTGGCTAAGACTTTCCATAAGAGTGGTGAAAGTGGACATCTCTGTCTTGTTCCTATT